GCCAGGACAATGAAGGCTTGATCCTGACTGCTTTTTTTTTTTTTTTTGGTCACTACAGTAATAGTAATGATTAGCAGTAATTATAAGAACAGTAATAGGAGTGTCCCATAATGCTAGTGGATGGGGGAATTCCACTAAGTGCATCTGCTCCCATGCCTAGCTCTCGTTACCAGGCCAAACAAATACACCGCGGACTTGTCTCTTTCCTAGGTTCTGTTTCGGGAACGTGTGCTGGCTAATCTGGTTTCAGGTGAATTGCTGTTTACTCCATCATCCCTAATGCCACACCCCTCGTGGCGAGGGTGCCCCAGCTCCCTGTGCGCATGTCCAGCATGCAAGTGGCAGTCACCACTGAGTCACAGCCAAAATGTGGAGGCCAAGGCAGGCTGTTTGCTTCCCTTTGATGGTGGCACTCCTCTACAGAATGTCTTTTTTGTTCTCACTCTCTTCTCCCTGTTTTAGTGCCAGCTATCCAGAAGGACAGAGCAGGAGAGAGGAAGGTAGCGGCAGAGAACACAAAGCTGGGGCTGACGGCTGTGGTGAAAGCCCAACTGGAACCAGTGAGTGCTGGCTGAGTCATGCCAATCCCCACAGCGGTGGTTCTCGCTGGCATTTCACTGTCCCAAGAGGGATGTCGCACTCTGAGCTATCGAGCAGAAGCGTTGCATGGTCAGCGGCCAGCAACACGCTTTCATATATTGATTTGCTTGCTTGTCAACAGTAAAATGCAGTCAGATCACGAGAGGCAATTCAGAAGGCTGGCAGCATGCGTCTTAGAGCCCTTACTGTATGCATGCACTAAAGTTTGAGTTTTGAGACAAAAGAAAAGGAGGAAAAAGTCAGAACACCTGAATGGCTCGGAGCTTCATTCCTGTTCACGTGAATCAGGTCTGTGCATCTTACTTCTGGGGGATCTACTCTGAGCAGAGCTGTCTTGGTACAACAAATGATTTGGAGCAAGAAGGGGAAAAAAAGGACTAAATATATAGGCGAGACTTAGTTTAATAACACCCTTTACACACCAAATGTTTGCATGGGTTTGTTTAGTAACAAATAAAGACGGGAGCCATGGAAATTGTATCAATGAAAAAATCTATCACCACCTTGGAGGCTAAGAAATCACCTTGCAGGGAGCTGTAATTAGGAAAGGGAAAACATCAGCTGAGCATTAAGAAGCTCTTCCTGCTAGCAAGATGTGTTGGGCCATTCAGGAATTGCCCAGGAGAGAGTAATGAAAATTTCATACAAGCCAGCAGAGTGAAAAACTGCCCTGTAGGGAGCAATCCAGAACGAACTGACAGATCTGTTTGCCTTTTCCTTTCCATCATCTGAAATGCATTGAGATGGATGGCGTTTAGTGCTCTCTTTTTGTTTTTGTTTTCCTTTTTAATTTCTGGTTAATGCTAATCCAAGAAGTTGCCTAAGAAATAAGAAAGTTTGGGGGGAGTGGGGGGTTGATTTTTTTTTTTTTTTAAACAGTGAAATATCTTTGTTGTTCAGTAGTTTTGACCTCATGGTGCATTTACAAGAAGTGGCATCAGCCGCTTTCAGCCTTAGGATAGCATTTTGAACTCGGATAGTTTATAGGAGAGCTTGGTTGTTTAAGAACACTGGGCCTAAATGATTCATCGCATACATAGAGAGGTCAGCTTCAGATCTGCTATGGAGTAAGTTCAGCTCCAGATTTTTTCCTTACTCCATTTCCTTCACACTAACTTGTCCATGAATCCCAGTTAAGTATATTCCCTTTTTAGTCACACATAAGCCCCATACTTTTTAATATTTGAGGTGTTTGTGTTTAATACCCATCTTCCATAGTTGAAATTAAAATGCTGTCTTGTGAGCTATGCTCCAGTTAGCCTACTGATATTTTGAGAGCATTTCTTGAGCATCTTTAATGCTCAGTAATGAAAGTTTATTGTAAATGAAAATTGAGGTACACATGCACTGAAGCATGTTTTTGTGATGTTTAAAAGAAAAAAGCTTGCTGATCAGGAATTTATGAAAATGTTCGTTTGGGTTATTTTTTTTCCCTTATGTAAGGGTGTCCAGTGCCTCAGTGCAAGATGAGGAATGATTTTCTTGTATTTTCAAAACTGCTTTCTAACAAGGTGATGTTGATTTTGGAAATAGGTGGTCTTCCAAATGGACAAAAACCAATGCAGATCCACACCCAGAATGGCAATGTGTAAAACTGGATGAAGTTCCACAGAAAACAGCTAAAGTGAGTAGTAGTTGCCTGTCACTGATGGATACAGTTATGTAAGAACACATACATGTACATGAAGTGACAGTTCATTACCATGAATGCATCTTCCACAGAAAATCACCATGAGGACAAGTATTCTGTTTGGAAGCACAGAGAAACATACATGAAACCTCTGGTTTTCCCCTCTAAGTTTAAAGGGTATTTTGTTCATTGAAAATTCTCTGTATCATGAATGTGAGATAGACTAATCAACAAAAAACTGAAATCATACTCTTGAAATAATCACTGCCGTGAATCAGCTGCTTTGTCTCAGAAGAATAGATGCATAATTGCTCCAGTGAGAGGATGAAACACAAAATCGACTTGACTTGAGCCCCTGTGCTTTGTAAATAGAAATTTTCTTTAAAGTTGGTTGTTAAAATGTTGTAAGGTAATAAAAGCTAGTACATCTTCTGCATAAGTTCTTTACACTTTGTGAAGAAGAAAACCCTGACAAATGGAATTACTTGGGGGGCTTCATGCTGATCCGATGGCAAATGACATAAATCCATCACTGGCTTGGCTTGGGTGTGCCAGTTCACCCCAGCTGTAATTGAGGCCACCAGCTGACATACACCCATGATGGTCTGTTGCCCAATCAGTGCTACCTTCCAGCATTGTGCAGGCATGTCCCTCTGTACTCAGACCTGTGGGATGTAATGAATCTGCCTTACAATGAATCTATCAGTGCAGGAAGGTGCTACTCAATGTGAATAGCTGCTTGGAAAATTGGCTCTTAAAGTGTGCATCAGCCGTATCCAAAGAGGCAGCCTCCACATGGAGGAGAAGATGGTGAAATCTGCAAGCGGGGATGTCTGATGTGGAATCACATACCACGAGACCAAGAAAATTACAGAAAGATGAAACAGATGTGTATATGATACTTGTTTTCCATGTATTCAAATCTGAAAGAGGAAATTCCAATGAATTGCTCCAATGGTGTCAGCGTTACTCGGTATCTGAATACCGGTACAGGACTATAATTAAATGCTCTCTTTTCAGAGGATAAATCAGGTAGGAATTTAAGGGTGAAATTAATTATAAAGTGGAAGTTCTACAGTGATGTTGCTTTTAAGGCATCCTGAAAAATGCCCGCATACAGAAACGCTTTCCTAATGGTTGCAATTCCTTCCTTTACTCACTGAAAGAGTAGACAATAAAATCCTTAATAAGGGGGATCAGCCCAAATTAAAGAAGCAACAAAATAAGTCATGTGGCATCAGAAAAGCTACCATCTGCTAACCTTAAGGTAGTAAAGTGATTATATGGGGATAAGACATGACCGTAATGCTAGAGGGAGAAAAATGGACTCAGAAAAAGTGTCAGATTAAATCATGTCCTGCTTTCTTGTGGAGTACCAGAGTGTATGCGCTGCTGGCATGCTGCTTTTAGTTTCATGGATCCTGCCAACTCTCCCACCATTTGCATAATTTGCCTGTGCTGACGTAGTTCAATAGTAACACATTGATCTTTTTCATTTCAGCATCTCCACAGTTCCATAGATCTGAAAAAATGTTACCTAAGCAAGCAGGAATGTGATTTGTAAGTACCAGGTCTATTCCCAAACTGCCTGAATTAATGCGTTTATTGCTCAGAACTGGAATCTGAACATGGAGATAGATACTGCAGAATATGGCACAATCTATCTTCTATAGTTAACTCTCTTGTATCAACAACCACTTGTAAAGTAGGCAAACTATGAATACTTGAGTTATCAGCTATTAAAACTGCACCTTGCTATGAATACTCAAATACCTTACGCTACGAGATATGGTTATCAGTCCTGCAATAAATTGGGTATCACCTTGACTTTTTTGGTGCTCAAAAAAGGTAAGGCAGAGGAAGAAGGTTTTTGCTTTAGAAGGAAAAGAAATATCCGCTGTTGCTGAGCAGCTTCTTCAGAGAAGAAGCATTTTATATTTCAGGTAAGCATGTACAGAAGGATGTGGGGGTGGATGTGCCCGTCGACTGTCTGATGATGGGATATAAGTGCAGAACAAGGTCTTACTTAACCTAGTCATAGAGTGCATGGGCTTCAACAGGATGCACGAAAGGATTAAAAAAACAACAACAACCAAGTGCTGACAGTCAAGGGTCCTGCCTAAAGAACCAAAGGACCCGTTGGTACCCAGCTGGGCTGGGGGGGCACCGTGGTGTAAGCACCTGCTGACCTTGAGCCTGTCACAGCCTGTCGAGGTGCGGGGTGAGGTGCTGGCATTCCTGCGGCCTGTGCTGTGACTTAATAGACCCTTTCTGCCCCTAGCCCTGAGGCTCACATGGGCTGAGGGTCACTTGGGAACTGATGGGAGATGAGGAAGGAGGGGGTAGCCTTCTGGCTGCCCGCCCCGCTCTGCTTTCTTGCTTTTACGTGCACGCAGTGACAGGGGCCGTGCCGCAGCCCCCCATGCAGTCAGGGCTCCCCGGGCAGCCCTGCTCAGCATCCACCCCGCTCCCACCCAGTCTCACACCACTGCTCCTGGCACCGATAAATTGAGCGCCAGCGGTGCCACCGCTGCAGGGTGAGCCGTGGGCACCAGCTCCTCGGCCTGTTTGCTCTAAGGTGGTTTTATGGCCACGAGAGCCGTACGCAGCAACGTTTGCTAAAAATGAAGGATAACACAAGCACGTGTATCTGGACAGCAGCCAAGAACCGGAGGAATTTGCCCTGCCAGCCTTGCCCTGCCCGCCCCACAGCATGGCTGGGGATGCCCCCTGCCTGCCCTCGGGCCATCGCCACCGGGCACGGGGGGGACAGGCGGGGAGGGCCCTGGGTGCGGGTGCGGCGGGGCAGGAAGCGAGGCCGGGCGAGCACCTGCCCGGAGCTTGGCCAGAGTTTCATCACCGCTCCGCCCCGCCTCTCCCGCAGCCCCATAAAGAGCCCTGGCGGCGCGGCCGCCGCCACAGCACTCCCTGCCACCACTGCCTTCCTCTCTTCTCCTCTTCATCATCTCCTCTTCTTCATCTCCTCCTCTTCCAGCCGGCGACATGAGGGCGATGGACACCGGCCGCCTGCGGGCCCGCAGTCTGCTGCTCTTCCTCGGTGAGTACCGGCGGGGACAGGGCTGGGGCAGTCGCTGGCTGCTGGAGGACCTCTGGCCACACGCAGGGTGAAACTTGTCTTGAGGTGAACGCGGCACGTTTGTTCCCCGAGGCAAAGCGGCAGGCAGGGCCGGGTGTCTGCAGGCTGAGGAGCGGAGCGTGCAGCTCTTGCTGTCAGGGCACTGAGCTGTAGCAGGGCACTGCTTTGCTTCTCTGTGTCTGTGCTTCTCCCCTGCTCAGCCTGCAGCGCAGCCGTGGCTGAGGCAGAAGGAGCTGTTCTGTCACCTTGTCCTGCCTGGCTGCCTTCACCCAGGCTGTGCTCCGGGTGAGTCCCCACAGCAGCAGAGGCTTCCTTCTGCTCACAGAACGGGTTGTGGCCTCCCATGCCTTGATACTTCACCTCTCTACTGGGCACGTGTTCCTCTCGCATCTCATGAGCTAGCTGACAGCCCGAACTGAACGTCCGTGTCCTGAGAGCATTGAGAGCCCCAGAGCCTGGGTGCTGGCAGGGACTGCGTGTAGCTGGCCTTTCGAGATGACTCAAAGTATGTGGGCAGCAGGTGTTGGAGGCAGGATGGCGACCTGGAGCCCTCACACACTGCTGTAATGACAGGGCATGTCCTCACACTGCCAGTGCTGGGCTCAGGGTCTCAGGTGATGGGGAAGCTCAGTCCCCAAGACCTTTTTTGGGATAGATGTTCCCTATCTGCTAACCCCACTGCAGCACAAGTTTCTGTCATCTTAGCCGGGTATTTCCACAAGGGCTTACAGATGAGCTGCTGCAGCATAACATCTTACTTTCAGTGACAGCAGGTTAAACATCTTTCAGCCTGTGACTCAGCCATGCTTCGCACAAAACTAGCACTGGAAGGAACTGGTGTGTCTTCATGGATTTGTATACAGATTTATTTATTTCCGGGACAGGTACAAAATCTAATAGTAAGGGACAGATTAGTCACAGCTAGATGGCCTCATAGCAACTGTTATGAGCACTTTACTGCCCTTCCGTCCCAGGTCAGTAAAGCTGGGAGGTCCATCTGTAGCTGATGTTTTGCCAGGCTCAAGAGGTTCGCCACTCAAAGGCTGAAGCCTAACTCAAGTGGCACTCGTCAGCTTTGTATCTGGGCTATCACAGCAGAAAGGCAGTGACAGGAGAGAGCTGGCACTTGTCCCTAGGGAGCTGTGGCACTGTGCCAGCCAGAGAGGAGGTGGCAGTGGTGGAGCTGAGCCCTGGCCCTGCCTTTTCCGTGAGTTACTGTGGGAGCCCTGGGCAAGAACTTGCCCAAGGTCTCCTTGCAGTCGCTGTAAACACCCAGTCAAGCCTCACATCTCCACACTCATGGGCTTCAGGAGCTGCCAGTCTTATGGTTTACTGTGTTGTGTTTGTCTGGCCATGGGCAGGTAGGCTCAACACAAAGGTTGGTAAGTCTGGAGATGTGAAAACATCAGTGACTGATGTGTCTGATGGGGAGAAATAACAAATTTCTACTTCTGCAGCATAGGGAGCTCTGCCACGTGCTCATGGCAGAAAGCAGAGTGGTGCAGGAGCAGGGGCAGCATGTGAATAAGATCAGTGTTGTGCAGGTCTCCACAGGGGTGGAAGCAGCACTAAGATGACTGGGTGCACACAGTAAGTAATTATCCGCATTATCTCTAAGTGCTGGCACAGTGCTGAAGGTGATCGTGTGGGCCCGCAGCAGTTTAGGAGTGACGGTCCTTCCTTGCAGGCTGGTGTTGCCAGGGCTGCTGTAGAGCTGCTCTGGCCTGGCCCTGGGCGTCCCCAGCTTGGAGTCTGCAATTCTGCACTCAGGGGTACAAAATTCAAGATGGAAAATGCAGGCGATGCTTTCCAAACCATGCACGGGTGCTGCAGTCTGTTGCCCTAGGGGTAGTTTATTTGCATCGCTCTCAGCACCATCAATTTTGGTGCCTCCGTATGAAGAACTGGCCAAAGTAAGGCAGACCGCAGAGGGGTGGGGGGTGGAAAGAGCTGTTAGCATCATCTCCTTTCACATGGGTGAGAAGAGCAACCTGTATGGCCTGTATGTCTCATCTCAGGAAGAGGAGTGTCTGGCACCTGTTTTGCTGGGCACGGCCAGACAACTAGCACCGGATACATCCCACCTGAAGCATCAGTCAGAAGCCAGGTGTTGTATCCTGAGCGCAACGATGAGATGCATCACTCTGAGGTGGTTAAAAGGATCTCAAATGACTGCTTCCCCTTTCTGAGGAAGCATGCCCAGCATACACGGATAAGCAAAACTCCAGAGATGCTGTGGTTGATGTGAGCAAGGTTGCACAACCAAATCTTGAATAAGAGCAAGCTTAGCAGAGCATCCATGGCTAACCCTGCATCTCTGTGGTCCTCATCTGGAACACAACCACCCACCTGGTCATTATTTGCAGAGGGGCTTGCTTGGTCTGGGGTGGCCTGCAAACATCTGTGGCTGGGCAGGGAGGTTAGCTGCAGAGACAGGGAAGGTTAAGCACTAGAGTTAAGTGGTGGTAGTGGTGATGCTCGCAAAGCCAGTGGGACAGATTGGCTAGCTTCAACGTTCCCTCCAGTTCCCTCCTTTTCTGCTTATTCTATGCAAAGAAAGCCCTAGACAGTCTGACATGCTCTGGGTGTGTGAAATCAGGTGATGGGGGTCCAGCTCAGTCTGTCCCTAGAGTTAAAACGGGCTGAGATCTACCAGGTGCATTGCTGCGCTTGGCGTCAATTTGGAAGTGCAACCCGAGTTGAAAGTATAGGCACTGTCTCTGTGCCACAGGGACCATGCTGCTGTGAAATAGCATCAGGAAGTCTTGTTCAGGTGAATTGGTGTGTGACTCGTGATCTCAGGGACAGGCGAAGTAACTCAAATGATGGCGGGGCCCAACACCTCTCAGATACCTAACAACATGCCTTTAAATTGGGGATAAATCTTGTAAAGGTTCTCAGTTAGGTTTATCCTGTATGTACATCCTTCATCCTTAGCACTCAGCAACTGGAAACTGTAGCTGGCTTTGAGTGGCTGAACTGATAATTAGCCCTTGCATGTCATCTCTGACGAAGGCTGCAGGAAGCTGAGGCGGCCGGCCTCTGTTCCTTATTCTCCATCCTGGTCCTTCCTTGAAGGATGAAAGCAGCAGCAATATTCCTGTTTGAGGAGCAGCTGCTGCTGTCAGAGCTACTCGTACAGCGAGACCCGCGGTGCCATCCGGGGCACTGCGCTTGTGTGCCAGCCGCGTGGCACTCGCATTCCTGTGAAGCATAAATGAATACCAACAATCTCATTACTCTTATCTTGTACCCTGTAGAGTATTTGCTCAGTGAACAGCGAAGGAATAAAAATAAAACTACCTCTCCCAGGTCCTGTATTTGATATACATCACTTGATAAGTATTCAGGGAAAGGTTTTCCTCTGTCCCTGCACCATGTGGATCCCTTATCCTCCTGCAGGATCCCCCTCCCAGTGATGTCAGAGGGAAAATATGTGCATGGGGGAAAGGGCAAAATGTAACAGTGCAGACCAGGAAGAACTTTGCCCGCATGCCGAAAATACTGCTGGGTGTCAGCAAATATCCACGCCTGTGCTCCAGCCTCTCTGCTCCGTGTGCCTGCAGTCAGGTGGAGGAGGCTATCGGTGGCTGTGCACGGCGGGAGTGGAGCAAGCTTTTATTGGGCTTTGTATGAGCAGGTGTGTTTTAATCTGTCCCTTACAGGTGTCAGGCATTTCCTCTCTAGGGACAGGTCCAGCTGGAAAGCAGTGCCTCTTTCTGGAGCAAATAGAAGAGCTGAGCTGCCTCTTAAGCATGCCCAGGTTGGAGTTTGTCAAATGCAGAAGCCAGGGGCTGGTGTCTGTCAAGCTGAGAATTTTAGACTAAAAAGCAGCTGCCTAAATTGCTCAGAGATCAAGGAAGAACGCAAGCTGAAAGACAAGTTGTGTAGGCTAAAGGAGATCTTCAGTTAATGAATCCATCTACTTAACTAACTGTGATAGAAGTGGACGTCTCAGGTACACCCAGCATTTTTTGGCTTGCTTGATGTTCATCATAGTCAGGTGGCCCCCCAGACCAAATCCTGCCACAGCACGTGACACAGAGGCAAAAGCAGCAGGAGGTGGCTAATAGGAGGGAGGCTCAGGGCACTTTTGCCAGTCTCAGGACTTCAGCATCCCTTCTTCCAAAAGCACAGCATTGCTTTTGGGATGGGGCTGTCCTGCGCCACAGGTGCACCCTGCCGAGGGAGCAGCTTAGTCCATGGAGCACTCCTGAAATGTCCCTTTAGTTCCTGGGAAGAAGACTCGGTAAATCTTCTTTTCTCAGCATCATATGGGACTCCAGGTCCATGGTCAAACCTCATAGCCTGCTGTTCCAGCTGTAACTGAGCTGCTGTGGTCTGTCAGCTGATACGCTTGTCTTTCGAGCACTTGAATTTTCTGTTGTTCTTACACAAGCATTAAACCGCTGATTCTGATTAAATCTATACTGAACATAAGGTGCTGTATGAAAAAAAAAAAAAAAAAACACAATAATAATAATAAAAAAATCCCACCCTGAAAGTAAACTTTCTGGTCCTGCCCCATCGGAGTGAAAGGCATGTCCTGCTGAGTCACGCTAGCAGGAGCAGCTGTCTCTGGCACAGTCTCCAATACGAGTCCTGTATCACTGCTCTGTTTCCGTGGCTCTTGCTGTGGTAGCCCTCATCTTTGTCCTTTCCACTAAAGCTTGGTGGAAACCTGGCTCATTAACTTGGCAAGAAATGTCGTGGAGAGGGATGAAGGGAGAAGGATTCATGTTTAAAGCAAAACAAACAAAAAAAAAACCCTATCTCTGTAAGGTAGATGTTCCTGCTGTTCTTCTATCTAACTGAACTAAATCTGAAAGGAAACCTTACTAATCACCCAGAAATGGATGAATTGCAGGAAATTCGTAAATTGCTGCTAGATTTAACACTGAGATGTAATGAAACTTTCTAATAACTGGAGTTGAATTAGAGTGATCAAGAAATTATGAAGGCACACTCCCTCCATTAGCCATGCATGACCTGACAAGTTAATAGAGGCAAACAGCCCAAAGACACAAATTACAGACTTCTGTGGAATGGGGCTGATGACTAAACAGTTCATGAGCAGGTTAGTTTATGACCACAGCAGGAGTGTTCGCCAAGTGGATTTTATGGCCAGATGGGGCACAAACATTGACTGTTCCTTGTAGGCTGGCCGTGAAGCTACAAGTGCATTTGCTGGCCTTCAAATCCTCATTGGAAATGTTCATTTGACTTGCAAAATACCTGAAAGCTGGCCTTGTGCAGCTGATACCCTGAAAAGTGTCAGAATGCTTTATAAGATGCATCTGTTTGAGAAGGGAACAAGGGTCCCTGCTCCCCAAGGGAATGCAGCCGCTGCTCTGGCAGCCAGACTCCTCAGCCTGCCTGGTGCAGTCTCACAGTGTGGCTGGTACCCACATCAAACCTGCTTGGAAGGTGCAGTTCTTGCTTTTGTATGGACGGTGAAGGAAGGATGGAAGTGGACCCATTTTCTGCTGGGGTGTTCTGAGATGAGTGACACTGGCCCAGGATCCGTGTGCTGGTCTGTATGTCTCAGAGCCAGTGACCAAAGAGGATTTGGTATCTCATGTTATCTTTGTGCAAGTGAGCACAAGAGTGTTAGTGCAGGAGCTGGCCACCCTTTCAACCTGGTTACAGCAAGTAGAGGGCTGAGGAAGCTCGCTCCTGCCAAATGGTAGCTTATGTGTTAAGCCTACCTCAAGTGGTATGTGGTCTCTGAAGCCAGCAGCAGGGTGCTGAGTCAACAGCCAGGCTGACTTGAGTCCTGGGAAATCCTCTCCCCAGGGACTGCTGTGACTCAAGGTGTTCTCTATTTCAATCACCAAAAGAACTTCTCCTGTGATGAATGCACAATTGTCACGCCTAAGCTTACCTATACTGAACAAGAATCTAATGTCGCCTCTATTCTCTCGTAGGTTACCTATTGCAAGCAGTCGCGGGCACAACAGTGATCCCATTATGTGAACCTGGTGAAATGGAAAACTGCACAACTGCACTAAGTAAGTGTACTGCACAGCTCTCTTTGCAAGCGACAAGTCTTTGGTTCCCATCTTCTTCAGGCTGGTGACCTCACCGAGCCACCCTTGGAAATCACTTTGACTCTGCAAATAGCTTACTGTTGAATCACATTTCCAGCATCCCACAAAGTGTTCACTCTTGTTGAGCGGGAGCCATCTTACAACCTGTATTTCATTAAAATTGCCTTTTCAGACTAAGATCTGTGTCTTAAATGAGAATACCTCTGTAAAAGCAGAAATAGGTAATGTGGAACTTGTAAGGAGAGAGTCGATGTAACTCTAACATGGGAAAATCCTCTCCTTATTCATAAGGCTCACCTGCTTCAGTGCCTGCTGCATTACAGCTTGGTTGGTAGCTAGGCTGTTAGTTTTATTGGTAAAACTTGCACATTGTTTGGGAAACTGAAAGGGAAACTAAGGCTGATGAGATGCTAACCAAATCTCTCCACAGTCCAAACAGAGAACAGTCCTCGTGTGGCTCAAGTTGGGATAACCAGATGCAAGCCCGAAATGAAAGATTACTGCTTCCACGGACAGTGCGTGTACATAGTGGACTTGGATGAGCACTACTGCAGGTATGGACAGAATGCAGCGTGTCCTGCAGCCTCCCTGAGGTGGGCTTTGAGATGAGCTGCACGTGGTCTTTGATCTTGCTGACACTTAGCTGGATCACCAACCCTGCAAGGCATTAATGCTTACAAGAACTGCAAAAGGAGCAGTTTATCTATAACAGACCTCAGCTGGATTTAAGCAAACATTAAGTATGTATGTTGGCAGCAGTGAAACCAGAGTGACAGTCTTAGTTAGACACCTGAAATTAGTCACCAACCCACCTTAAACATGGTACACTCATTCTGCTCTGCCTCCTGTTGTTCATCTGTAGTTAAAATAGTGTGAGATCCAGACCTCAGGCAAAGCAGCAAGGTCTCTCCTTTGATTAAGTCTAAAAAAGAAAGACCCTCTAGGCATTTTTAAGGGTGTTTCTCACTTACTTGAATGATGTGCATCCATTCCTAAAACCACGTGGGCTTCGGTTATCTAAGTTGAAATTGCTTGTCCCTGAGGAAACAGGCCAGTGGTATAGCATGCTTTGTGGAATGCTAAAATGTAACCCCATGGCAATTTCTCTAATTCTGCCTCTCATCTTCAGGTGTGATGTCGGCTTCTCTGGTGTCCGTTGTGTGCATTCGGAACTTGTCAGACAACCCCTCAGCACGGAGTATGTAGCACTGACAGTCATCCTAATCCTGCTTTCCCTCATCGCCATCTCCATTGCAAGCTACTACATCTGCAGAAGGTAAGAGACGTCATCTTCATGGCTCAGAAAGGCAAATCTGTTGTGTGCATAATAAGATATCCACCGAGGGCCTCCAGCTGGACTTGAGATACTTAGGCTCACTTGATTGCATGGAGATGGTCTGATGAGCAGACCTGCTGGCATGAACCAAAATAGTTGTGTGATGACTGCACAGCATACCCCAAACTGAAGGCAGAGTCATGCTTAGGCAAAAGTACCCGCAGATGCTCTTTGACCCTGTTGGAGAACTGTGTAGGTTAGTTCATGTCTGTCTTGGAGAGGGTACGTTGAGGTAAAGGTGAGAACAGACAAGGGGCAGAAAACTGGCTGCTCTTGCTGGTAATGACATTTCCCCAGTCAGCAGGAACTGGAGAGCAGTTGGATTAACAGTAGCCAACATGTCCATCTGCCATGTTGTTGCGGTGACGGTGCCATATCGCAAGCATTGCCTTATCAGCTTTACCACGCAGGACAGCAGTCTTCTCCACTAACAGACACAAGAGCATCAAGAATTGTTCTTCATGCTCATAACTAATGGTAAGCTGCTGTCAGAGAGACGAGAAGGTGGAACAACCCCCCGAGGGAGATCTCAGCTTCACAGGTCTGATAGCTAGATGGTAACTGCCGTAACAACTCTTCCCCACCTGAAGACTCCGTGGCACGTCAGATCAAACAGAAGATGGCCTAGCTGGTTAGGGTACTCAGCCCTATTGCAGGCAAGGATCCAGCAGGATTTCACAAAGATGAGCCTACTGCCAGCAGCAAGACTTTAATGCAGATGTGAAATCGTCAGGGACAAGCTGAGAAATGAGACTCTGCCTGCAAGTTATCTCAGACCCAGAAATAAGCACAGAGAAAGCCTAGCTGCTAGAGTTGAAACAAGCACAAGGAGGTCACGTAGAGTTGTTTTTTTCTTCTTCCTTCCCTCCCCCCCCACCCTCACTCCCCAGAAAGTCATTTGGAATTACTGGCTTTCCAGAACTGATGTTTCTCTTCTCTACTTTCAGGTACCGACACAAGAAGAGACATACGAACACCAGTGAATACAAGGAGGTCGGTGCCCTGTAGAAGAAACAATCGCTTTGTACAGTGTTCTGTTCATCCGGACAGACTCAGAGTCTTCCCATCTATTTAAATGTTATTTTTATTAACAATATTTACAATATTTATATCCTTTTACAAATTTCAATTGTTTGGTGATCCAATCAGTATAGGTCAAGCATTTTATTTTCAGTGTTTTATTTTTTTTATGAAATATTTCTTAATGCGAACCCCACGTAAGTGGTTCTGTGCGATAGAGATATATTTTTGTAAAAAGTGGTCTTACTCTGAAGAGTAATTTTATATTTATTCTTGTGAATATGTTCAAAACAATTTTACTCCTTGAAATAAAAGTTCTAGACAAAGTCAAAATGTCTCTGTGTTTTCATTGAAGTGAATCTTGGCTTGGCTTGGCTTGGTTGAGCAGGATGTTTGAAGCTCCAGCAGTTAATTTTGGATGGACAAACCACTGCTTCTAATACCATGCACCTTAGTTCCAACAAACATAGCTATTAGCCAGCAAAACTGAAGGAAGACTTAAAGGAACAGTGCAGCTCCTAGCGCTGCTTATCCAGGCTGTGTGACAGCAGCATGGATCTGGGCTCATCCCTATGTTCAGGAAAGTTGTGTTGGATATGTCCTGGATTACAACAGTGGTGTTTCAAGTTAATAAGCCTCCACAGCTGACCACATTAGCACACTGCAACTTCGTGTATGAATCTAGCTACAGGAAGAAAGCTTCTGCAGGAGCAGTACCAGCACTCCAGTCCTCCCCGTAGTGTCTGTCGTAAAGCTGTGAACAGGGGAAAGGAAAGCTTGCAAGTTTGTGCTCCATGCAGATATATTGCTGGTCTGAAATAATGACAGAACAGCCTGCTGGGTTTAGCCGCACCCAGCGTTGTGCTTGCTGTGAACAGGAAGGGGCCTTGCAAAACTTGAATCGTCCACGTTAACCCCACCGCTTCTCACGCTTCAAGAATATGTGAGACGAGTGCAACCTCGACACCATTCCTGGTCTTTGCGTACTGCATTGCTCTGTGTTGCTTGATGTTTGTGGGTGTGCAACAGGATCTTGGTAAGGAAGCTGGTGGGACCTGAAACATCACAAAGTGAGAGTGCTATTGCAGAAGCTCCCGTCTCTGTAAGGAGAAGTGATGCTTGCCCAGCACATTGCAAAAGCTTCCGGCTCAGTCAGGCAGAGGCCCTTGTGGAGGAATAACCTGGCTCGTTCTCCATCTCCTTCAAGTATCATCGTGTCTGAAGTGCTCTCAAGATCAAACAAGTGAAAGGGGGGATCACCAGAACCTCCCTTCCTTGTTTTTCCACTGCGTGTTGAAGGTAATAGTGCTTCAATCTGCCTAGTATCATCCCATCTCTGTATCATCTTGTCTCTGTCTTGCCATGGAAAGAGACGTGGGAGCTCTTCCACGCACATCTGCAGCAAACGGGCAAAAGGAGGCCAATTATAGCAAGGCTCTGGGCAAGGAGTGGTGCAAGGAAGACCCTTGGAGCTAGCAGTGGGAGGCAAGGTGGGACAGGTTTGCCCAAGTGCTCTGCCCCTGGCCATGCGGCCTACACCCTTTCCTTTGGAAAAGATGAGTCACGTGAAATGATAGCTCTGCTTCTTCCCTGCCTTGGTACTCACATCCTGACTTTGATTTACTTTCCCTGTTATCTTCCCGCTTACAAGCACCAAGCGCAGCACAGGTGTGGTTGGGCAGAGCAGGGCTGCAGTGAGATAGCTCTACCCAGGTTCTGCCCATTTCCACCGCTCTGCTCTTCCCCAAGCTGCCCCGAAGGCAGTGCATGAGGTGAGGAGGAGGAAAGATGTCTACTGAGCAAAGCAAAGGCATGATCTGAGCACAGACTGACGTTACTCACGACAGATAGCTCCAGCAGCACGCAGCAGGAGGGCCCAGATGCTCAAAGGCACCGGGTGTGAGCTCTGGTTGCAGTGCTGTGGCCTGGCACGGCGGCAATTCCTGTGCTCCTCACCATGTGCTTTGTTCACTGTGGACCTTCTCGTGTGCCTGCACTCGGGGTCCCTCTCTGGCAGACGTACCACCAGCTTCTGGGGCTAGGCAGTACTGTTTTTTCCCTGGCATCCAGTTAGAAGGGGACTGTTGGTCAATCCCTGCTAATTGGGCCCGGTGTCGTAGGGCCCTCATTAGCTGCTCTTCAGCTTTTCACTTCCTCTCTCCTTCTCCTGTAATCCGGTTGTCACCGGGGAACCTGTTCTGCTGGGTGACTGGTGACAGTGAATGGCAACCCCAGCCCCAGCCTGCTGCTAGCATGGCCCTCTCCGCTGGGAAGATGGGGCAAAAATCAATTCTTGGAGCCTCCTGCCATTCCTGCTGTGACCCAGTTAGGATGGTGACACATCTTTGTTTCCACCTCAGGCTTCCCGGCTTGGCTGTGAACCGCTCTGGCCGGTCTCTGTTCATCCTCCAGAAACTGTTCCTGGACTCTGCGGCAAGGCTCAACCCAGAGGCTTTGCTCCCACTCCCACACACTGCCCTTGCTGCTCCTCTTGGGGCATCATAGAGACTCCAGCCGCTCGGCTAACCTTTTGTAAATGATGACCCCGTGTATTTGAGGTGCTATTAGCAAAGCTCAAGTCTGAAAGGCTTTAAATTATACCCTGCCTTGCTCTCCACAGGTCTGCCAGCCCCTCCGGCCATGAGCAACTTCAGTACCAGAAATGCTTCTTTCCTCTGCAGCCCTCCATTGCAGCAATCACACAAGTTTTAAACTGCAGTGACAGCAGCAGCATGAGGATTACCCTGCCCTTGGCTTTCCGGGTTGGGGAAATTTGAGAGAAACAGTCCAGTTTCAGACTTAGGCAGGATTTTGTTTTCCTACGTCTTAACTTTTAGCTGACTGTTTTAGTTTGGCTTGGGTTTTCTCCACCTACCCTGTTGCTCATCTTAATCCCAGCCCATAGCAGCCCTTCCAGACCCTGTATTTTTCTCACTCCTGCATATGATTGAGCAACTGAGAAGCTTGGGGCCACATACCAGCCTGCCACCTCAACAGCTTGCCGGCTGGACTTAGATTGCCAGTCCAGCAACCACGCAGCCGGGTCCTGACGACACACCCCAGGTAATTTCTCTCAGAGAGTGAACCTCCCTCATTCCTTCCATGGTTTCTGCTGGCACCACCTCCATCTCTCTGGTGCAGCTCTTCCTCACCCTCACCGCCCGCTTTCAGAGACACCTTTGGCTGTCTCTGTTGGTGAGAGTGCCTGCACGGTGCCCCCTGGGCTGCCCTGCGCAAGCTCTTCTTGCCAAACAGCTTTGTGTCCTGCCAGGGAAGTTCTCCAGTCCCCATGTCCGGCTGCATCACAGCAGAGAAAATGCATGGAACAGGTGGGGATGCAAACTAGAGACCAGTAATGGCAAGACCCAGCTGATACTGAAGCATCCAGATGTCCCCAGGGCCACCACCATGTCACTGTGCAGTTTTTCCATGAGATGCTTTTGGCAGGAGCTCTCTGGAGCGCTGAGCACCCACATCTCCCATCAGCTGTCTTTGACATCTCTCTGTCATTTTCAGACCTATCCCACCTCAGACCTGCCCTGTCAGTATCCCTGCTGTGTGATTCTTGCCCACACATCTGTATCTCCTATCTGAAACCCATTCCAGCCTCTTGAGATTCAGGCAAAGGATGACTGACGCTTGCTTTCAAGACCTTGGCTGTCAGATCTAGGAAAATAGCAACAACTCCTGTGTTGGTGGTCTGTGGAAGGACAGTGCTTTTCTGAAGTACTGTGAACTCTCCAAAGTGCTTAGCTTTTGTGCAAAAGTTACTTTTGTTAATGTTTCCCCTGCTCACAACATCCATCCTTATTTTTTAGTAAGAGGGAGCATAGTGGTTTTAGTAAGAAGAACAGCAGCCAGGCACAAAGCTGCCAAGAGATCAGCGTGGGAGCAGGCACAGCAAATTAAGCCGTCCTTCGCTTATCACTTCTTGAGGGGGAAGGTTTTTCAGCATCTGTTGCGTGCCTGCTGTTACTAAACCTGGAGTCCTCGTAGCCGTAGTGCCCATGGTCACGGCCATAGCACGCTCATCCCTAGTGGCCCACACAACAGAGGACACGGCGACACACCAAGCTCCAGAGGCTGACCTTTCTCTGTCCAGCTGCCGCCTTGCCTATTGCGTGCTTCGTGGTAATGTCACTAGAGGTGCTGTGGCAATCTCAAGCCTCTGTGAGTCATGTGTCCCCCTCGACGGGTTTCCTTGGAGTGCGTCAGCCAGTAATGCCCCGAGCTTGCTGAGAGCCGGAGGAAGCCTCCCTGACGATCTTGGGTTACATCACGGAGGCGGAGGATGTTTGGACAACTGGTTCCAGTCTCCACTGAGGCAAGTCTGAGATTGCGCAGAGCAGCTGGCACCTCACCTTGGTGCTGCTCGTGAGAAGGCCAGATTTGGGGCACAGGGAGGAGGGGAGGTGAAAAGGGCTGGAAAGACTTACAAATCACTCACTCATTGCAGAGCCGGGCTGGGTCAGTAGCAGCCATCCTTCTTGGTGACGAAGAAAGGATGGGTGGACAGATGGATGGACGGATGGACAGATGAACACATGGAAGGAGGGAAGAAACGATGGATGAAAGGGATGAAGGAAGCAAGCAAGCAAGAAAGGAAGGAAGGTGCTCCATCAGTAAAGGTGGAAGTTTGGTCTTGCACAAATAATTATTATTATTTTAATAAAGCTAGTGCCAAACCTAAATTACTCCAGCACTCCCATTATATAATTCCACCCTGTATGATTAAAAGCTTTCCCGGCAAACTGGGAGATTACAACAATTGATCAAAAAATATTGAGAAACCTCTCTGCCCTACCCCCGCTGGATGCCAGTTTGATCTTTCTGACCCAGTCATCAGAGGGCATCGAAGTCTTGATAGGAAAACCCAGCAGGAATTCAGGAGAGGAGATGCAATAGTGAACCAGCAGCAGCCTCAATTTCACCACTGGTCCGTGAATGTTTGCCAGTGGTCCCCAGTGGTCCTGTGGTCCTCTTTCAGTTCTGGATCTTCAGGCTGGTTGTCAATGCCCTTCATTATAACGGGAAGCGGAGGCAGTTGTACAAGCCACATGAATGAGGAAGAAAAGCCAGTTTAGCTGCCTCTGCCAGGACGGCTGTCACTTAGGCAGCAGAGGAGGGGAAATAGGGCTTAATTTAGGAGAGGATAATAGGTAGTGGGAGATGGATCTCCATCAGGATACCCATGTCAGGTCACTTCTGAGAGGGAGGTGATGGAAACCAAACTGAAGAGTTTAGACGAGGGCAAGAAAAGATGGTGAGATTGTGATAGCAAAAGAACACAATGTTGAAGTTAGCCGCAAGCAAAAACTTTCTGACTTGGGATT